TTGATAACTTCGGAATTGTTGGGTTTTCTTGTTTTCGGCCGTATGCCAGTGGATTCGTCTCACTTTTCTCTTCATTTTGATAGTATTTTGAGCCCAAAATATTTTATTTTGAAGGCTTTAAAACGCAGTTTCTACCCTAACGTACGGACCAACTGGCCAGACTGCAGAGTCTGGCAAGTGCACACCAGTGCCACAGAATAGGAAGTTATACCAGAAGCGTAACTCTAGTCGTTTCCCTTATTGTTTGACGTCCACGAAAATTTTAACTCGCTCACGTCAGGCCACGCCATCCTGGCTAGTACAGCCGGAAGTTTTTATCAGGATTTGGTAGGTACAAAGTGCCGGTTGTACTAGCCAGGATGGCGTGATTGATGACGAATCGCTTGTGAAACGCGGACAAATATTTGCTCGAGTTACGCTTCTGGTATAACTTCCTATTCTGTGCCAGTGCTCTCACAATCAAATTTTCGAATTCCTTAGAAAAAGCTCGAAAACTCCTCAAATTTCCTTAAAATTCCTTAAATTGGCAAAATTACCAGAAGGCCTGATCACACAGTTGCAAAACGTGTTTTTTCCTCCTTTTTTCAGTTTTTATAACCTTGTTTCTAAGCACTAAAAATTGAAAACATTTGATTGTTAGCGTAATTCCATAAAGAAAACATTCAACATGATGTATTTTTGATCGTTGCTGCATGAAGAGCTTAAAAAATCTGTAGATTTCAGAAGAAACAGCATATACTGACATTTTATAACTTTTGAGAATTTTAATGAAAAGACCAGTGACGGACACTTTACGAAACATTGGGCTCGCGCCGAAAGCACGGAAAAATTTTTAAATTTGAATCCCAGAAATGGCATTTGCAGCGTTCTGAGAACAGATTTTGTAAAAAAACTAGGGTTTCAAAACACTGTTTTAAGTTTTGTTATAAATCACATGCCAAGCCATGTACATAAACACATACTATTATATTATGATGACAATTACGTTATATGAGTGTGATTTGTGTTATTTTGTACTGGAACCAAATTGACACTGGAACATAACAACATTTATGACATAGAGAACATACGAATATTTAACAATTATTCGCCGAAGGCGAGGTTATTATTGGTGAATAAAAACCGAGACAAAGTCGAGGTTTTTATTCACGATAATCACCGAGCCTGAGGTGAAAAATTGTTTTAGTATAATTTCATAGGTGATTATTTGGAAAGAAATAAGAAAATACACATTTCTTTGTCATTTAATTGACAAAAAGGCTCCGGCCGCCATTTTGAAAATCGCTTAGGTGATTATCGCGTAATAATCGCCTCAACGGCAACCAATCAGCGTGGAGAATTTTCAATAATCACCTATGTAATTATACTAAATGTAATTATGTGTGTATAATGTTGCTACTTTCAAGTTTAAATCTCATTTGCGTGGCGTGGTTATCCTCTATCCAACGTTTTTAGTCCAGGATAAAATGTTTCGGAAATTCCTTAAAAAAATCCTCAAAAACCTAAATTCCTTAAAAAAATCCTTAAAACTCTTCAAAATTCCTATTTTTAAGGATAATTCCTTAAAAGTGAGAGCACTGGTGCACACCCAACCTCGTTCCCAGACCCTGGTCGGAGCTGGTCACGTGACCCATTGAAAATTGATAGCCCAAGAAGGGGGTGGAAAAGTCTCATATTACATGTTTCCACTTCCGCACTTCGATTGCAAGGAGTGGCTGTTCTGTACAATCATTAATTCATCTTCAAGAATCAGATATACCTCAAACTACTTGCTAAATTGATTTCTGTTTGCTTTTAAATTATACAAACATGCTAAAATGCAGATTCTTATAGCAACAGAAAAGTCAGGAAATCAAGCAACGAGAACATATGACTGTACGCTTTGAAATATTTTTATTTTCTGGGGGTTCGCCGGTTCGGGCGTAGTTTTATTTCACGCA